AAGAATCATATATATGAAGTAATTTGTAAATAATATATAATAAATTAATATAAAAATCTAATAATATATATCTATACTATCTTATAATGCATTTGACTCAAACTCTTAAACTCTTAAAACTCTTAAACTCTTAAAAACAACTTCTATTACTTTAAGTACAACCTACTAAAACATATTATCCTAACCACCCCCTTCCTAAATCCAATCCCATTTTTTTCTTCCCTAACCCAATCCTTAAACCCAATCCAACCCAACTAACCCAATTCGATTTCATCTATGCGTATCTCTAAACCCCCGCCTAATCTGCATATCCCTAAACTCAATCCCCTGTTTATCGCCATCCAACCCTATTCGATTTCATCACCCTAACCGAATTCGATGAAATAAACCCTAAACGATTCGATTTAATCCCTTAAATATTCTGAGATGATATCTATTAGAGATGCATATATATTTGACATGTTCTTCAATCCATTAGTGTTAATCCAGAATCTAGAGGAGGTAATCTGTTTCTCTTTTTCTTACTTTTTCTGTTTGATTTGAGCCCTCCACAATCCTGAGGGCTAATTCTTCTTCTCTGTTGTTGCGATAATCAGCAGAAAACCCTGATCAAATGCCTGGGTTCGGGGGCACGTAAACGAAATTTTGAATTCAGAAACAAAGAGTTTTTCACTTCGCCTGATATTGATTCGTTTTTAAAAATCTTTCCTAATACTGGAAAAGCTAAATGAGTTTGTTTAGATTCTCGAGTGATTCTATAATTTCTCTTGTTATTATGATTTCCTAGATTTCATATTTCGATTTCTTAGATTAGTCTCTTCTAGATTTTGATTTTGATTTTAGGGTTTAATAGTTTAGATTTAGAGTTGTACAAATACATATATATGATTACTCCATCCCCTTTCTTGAGATCTTTGTTGTAAACCTCAAGCTTGGGTTTGCCTTTAGTTGATCCAGCAGCATGCCCAAGTTCTCGCCCTTTTTGTCACATACTTTTTGTGAATGGCTAGAGTTCTAATCGTTAATTATTCTGTAATTTTCTTCATGTCACATACTTTTTGTGATCAAACTTCTTTACCTGATTGGCTTGTTAGTTTTTGTTGAATACTATATCTTTGTTATTGTAATTAACTTTTTGGTTGGTATAGCAGGTCTAAATTGTATTGCTTCTATGCAGGTTTCTCCATTGACTAAGACTAACTCGGAAGATTTAGGCGGTTGCAACTCACCTGGAAAGCCAACAGCCCAAAGGTACGACTAATTTTTTTTCAGAAAAATATTTATTTGAATCTTCACTCGGGTTAGCCGGGGGGGGGGGGGTGCTAGACAAACATTATCTTATATTCCTGCACATTATAACCCTCCAACATATATAGGTACATGTGCCAATAGACAAGGATAGAAATGAAATTTAAGCATTGAAATCAATGGAACAAAGCTGTTAGCTGTTCTTACAGATGCATAGTTGTCATAATATGGCTTTGTTAGCTGTTCTTACAGATGCATAGTTCTCATAATAGCTTATAACTTTTCTGTTAGGATCGTTCTATCTGGGTTGGTACATTGATACTTCATTGTATAGTCATTTTAACACCCACAGTTAGTCCTGCAAAACCCAAACGCATATACATGTTTAAGGAAAATGTCCATATTGGTCAAAACCAAATTTGTCAAAAACTCAAAGTTGTCCAAAACCAAAGCTGTCAAAAACTCAAAGCTGTCCAAGTTAAGTAGTGTAGCATCATCAACCACTAAAATCACAAACTAATCATTTAAGTAGGTGTTTTAAAACATTAAGCAATAATCATTGATCTTTTCTAAAATTTGTTGCTATTCAAATACATAAGTACAAGCATTACCTGTTTAAATGTGGTATATATATATATATATACATCTACAGAGCTTAATGGGTTGGTACATTTATGTAGTATTAAAACTCTAAAGATTTAAATAAACTAAGTAAACAGGTGCATATTCTAATAATTCAGATCAGAATATCTGTTCACAAGGTTTACAGATTTCATAAAATCACTCTCTTTTTGCAAGAAGCATCGGTGGTTATAGCAAAAAGAAAAACAACCCATGTGCCTTCCAATGCTTCCTCATCAGTCTAACATGCTAAAACATAAACTTTTGTATGTGATTTGTAAGTCCATAACCATTACAATGCATGTTATGAACTTTTGTGGCTGGCCGCTGGTTCAGAATCTGCTTTCCAAATACCCAGGTTCAGAATCTGCTTTCCAAATACCCATTATTTACATGGTTAAGACATTTGCAGACATCCACTGTTTTCTTATAGGATTCTTAGGCCATGTTTGGCTTGCTATAAGCTTGATCTTAGCAGCCATAGCCCCAAGATATATACTTTTTTTATGATGATCAGAACCATGAAAAATCCATTAGAGTACTACCAAAACAATAGAATAATTAACAGTTGAAGCCATTCTAATTGTAACAGTTCCCAGGTCTAAAAGATAGTGTATACTTACACTTTGCCAATATTGTTGTCTAGAATATGAATGGGAAAATAACTATTTTGCCCTTTTATTACTCTGCCATTTAAGTCCATATTTAAGTCTAATAACCATTCCAATGCTTGATTTCTACTGTTGTGGCTGCCTGCTGGTGTGAGGTCCCAAACATGAAATTGAAACAGAATGCAGTCCCAAACATGTGGCCAGATATGTGTGTGTGTGTATATAAGATGATGCAACTTGTTTATATGCTTTGGGGGGGGGGGCTGTTTCCAATGATAAAGGAAGTGCATATATTTCCTGTAAAAGTTGTTGGCTTTCATATATTGGATTGACATAAACCATGTGTTAATAACAAATGAAAATATGCATATGCTTTGATCTAATCACACACACAAACATCTGGCCCTGTTATTGTTTTGAACATAGATGTTTTGAATCGTGCTGTTTATATTGTGCTGTTTTGAACTGTGCCATTTTGAACCGTGCTGTTTACACTGTCCCAAGTCACTATGTTGCTGTCAATGTCATGTAGTCATTATGCTCTCAATTTCAATACAACATTCCCAAAATAAGATAAAAATTTAATAGAGGAACTTGTATCCAAGGTTTCTGGCTGTTTCAATTTCAATACAACATTACCCAACTTTTAAATATAATGCCTGCACATGATCTTGAACTGTTTCTACAAAAAATAAAGTCTGTTGATCTTGAACTGTTTATACAGTGTGTGCATATATATATTTGTATCTCATGATTAAAGAATTTAAATACAATTCTTCAGGCCCACATGATTAAATACAGTTAACATAATGGGTTTCTATGCTTAGTATTTAACATCATTCTAGATGGTTTTCTTCCTCTTTTGGATTTTACAAGCTATGTAAGCACTCTTTATCAACACCATCTCATTCTTATTGGTGATGTTTGCTTTCTGAATTCTTTTTCTTTTCAAAATCCTAAACCCATGTTCTGGAATCTTTGGTTCATTATTGTATATGTGTGTGTGTGTATGTATATATGAAGATCAGTCTTAATTCTCTGTTTCCAAAAGTAAATAATGAAGTTTTTGGTGGTGATGTCGTTCTAATGGGAATGCCCATGGGGATGAAGTTTTTGCTGCTCCTCAAACTAATGGGAATGCCCATRGGAATGAAGCTTTCTGAAATCTCTTTCTCTTCCCGTTGTTTCAATTAATGAAGTTTTTGCTGCTCCTCAAATGTCACCAAAATCTTAAAGGTTTATGTACAATTCCAAAAACTTAAAATAGTTAAACATAAAGATCGAATACAGACCCGTTGAGCATGATATTTAAAAGTTAAAATGTATTCTATTTAAATTGGCATATGTCTTYAATTGGAAAGTCTTTATCTCAGTTCTAACCAGCTTAGTGGTCAGATCCCATTGAGCATGTGTAACCTGACCAAGCTTATAATAGATTTGCAGTTGGTCAACAATCGACTTTTGGGCTTTATTCCTTCATCCCTGGGGAATTGCAGTGTGCTGCAGCCTGCAGACACTCTCACTTGCTAACAACCAGTTGACTGGTACATTGCCTAATAGCCTTTATGATCTTGCCAAACTTATTACTTTTGATGTCCATAAAAAGAGAATAAAAAGATATGTTGAGGTACAATATTTATCTTGCTAATCAAAGTTTTCGATCTCAGGAGGTAACAAAATAAAAAGATTGGATGCTTGGAAATGGCAATAGCAAAGCCTACTTGGGAATGATATGTTGAGGTACAATATTTATCTAATGTTCTCCAATCGTTTACATGCAAAGAAGCTGAAATTCTTAGAGTCAAGCATTTCTTACAATTYCCTGCACTTGAAAAACCTTACAATTCCCTGCACTTGAAACCTTGATATATATTTCAAGCAAGATGCATAAATATGATTGAGATTGACTATTGCAATGTAAAGTTATGCTCTTTTTATAGTTGTGTCTTTTTATGCTAATAAGAGACATATTTTTATGTTCAGGATTTGCTAACAAATGCATGCTTCATTAGAATGAAAGGACAAGTTGCACATTGTCATTTCATTTGTTAGACTACGGGCCAGTAATCATTTCAAAACATGGTAACATCCATTTTAGTGCACAAACTACGGGGCTGTTTACCTAAACATTTACCCGGTAAGCACTTATCGGTAAAATTCAACCCTATCGCTTACTTACTGGGTAATATTTTATTCACTAAAACGCATCGTATGCAACAATTTATCCCGGTAAGTGCTAACCATGGTAAGAGTCCTCGTTCTCACTTACCGGGTAAGATTCTCGATTCTTGCCTTCGCTCTTATCGGGTAAGATTCTTAGTCCTTGCCATATTCATCCGGTAAAGTAAAGTGACTTGGTAAGTGCTTACCCGGGTAAGCACTTACCTAAACATTATCCTTTTAATCATGTTTTTATTCCAAACTTTGTCTTTGTTGATTAGTAATCATTTCAATACATGGTAACATCCATTTTAGTGCACAAACTACGGGGCCGTTTACCTAAACATTTACCCGGTAAACACTTATCGGTAAAATTCAACCCTATCGCTTACTTATTGGGTAAGATTTTATTCACTAAAACGCATCGTATGCAACAATTTATCTCGGTAAGTGCTAACCATGGTAAGAGTCCTCGTCCTCACTTACCGAGTAAGACTCTCGATTCTTGCCTTCGCTCTTATCGGGTAAGATTCTTAGTCCTTGCCATATTCATCCGGTAAAGTAAAGTGACTTAGTAGGTGCTTACCCGGGTAAGCGTTTGGTAAACGGCACCTACCTCTAATTTGCCGTCACTTAATGGCATTTCGTACTTTGCAAATAGAATATAGTCAAATGTTGCAGTTATAGTGGTATATTTGTTTAAACAGTGAATATTTCTCAAAAGCTTATAGTGGATATGTGATGCTTATCACGTATGATTCTGTCTTGGGAGCTAATATGAAGCGTGGTATGTAATATGGATCATCTGATGCTTGTTTTCTTCATGCACATGTTTTTGCAAGATTAGTTGAACCTTATAGATGTTGCTTCTTGATGTATGCAGGGGAATGAAAGAATGATCAACGCTCACTTCCTTCTGGTTCAAGTGGCGCAAAGACAACCGTCTCATTGGAAGAAAGCGTAAATCATGTACAAGCTATTGCAGATGCTGCTTGTAAAATCAATCCTGATACAATAGTGCTATGCCATGGAGGTAACCCTTTTTAGCATATTGCTTGTTGAACTCTCATATCAGTTAGATATAAGACCATTAAAACTGTATATATATATATATATATGTAGGGACCTCCCATATCTCTATAAGGGCTCTTTTAGAGAAAGATTCAATGGGGTTCTACATATCCTAATACTGCTTATGGTTTTTAAGCATATACAATGTGTCCCTTAAGATATTGTAAGCACAAAAGTTTTTCCTTCTTGGTAAAACATTGGTTTTTAGAAACACACTCGATAATGTAATTCATGGAAACAACTGCTCTACTCTTTTGGGGTAGATGTCAGGTCTACGTACATCCACTCTTAAATCCCACCTCCAGTGGTAGTTGGGATATACCAATAATGTAGTCCATGGAAATAGTTGCTATGCTTCTTGGGTAGAGGTCAGGTTTGCGTACATCCCACCCCCAAACCCCAATCAGGTGGAATCATTCATTATTCTGATTTTAGTCAATATGTGGTTCACAGGTCCTATATCTGGTCCAACGGAAGCCGAATTCATATTGAAGAACACCAAGGGAGTTTATGGATTTTATGGGGCATCAAGTTTGGAAAGATTACCCGTTGAACAAGCGATAAAAGGAACCTTTGAACAATACAAATCAATATGTTTAGAATAGAATGTGTTTTCCATACAAACTTTACGCATTTAGTGCATAATATGAGAGAGACTTTTGTGGTGTATCCTCTGTTCTGTTTGTATGTGTACTTACAGTTTAAAGTGTAGAAGGTTGAGTGGATATGGCTGTTGGTAGTAGTTCATTAGGTTGTAATATGTTATTAATAAAATCTTGCCTGGAGTTTGATGGTTTATAAATCATGTGATTATGAGTAGTTGCCAATTTGGTTGAAATAAACAAAATATATATATATATATATAGATATATACACTATTTTATAAACCAAATTTAACAAAAGGTTTAAAAACAATTTTTAATGCATAAAGTACTATACATTTATGTACAAAGTCTTAAAGACAACTCATAATAATGAACTACTACTTTATGCATTCAGTCTTAAAATCTCTTAATCTACAATTAAAATAACATATAATACAAGTTACCGATGCACATTATTACCTTCTATTTTCATGTTTCCAAGATACTTTTGAGACATTTTACTCATGTCTTCACCCTCTCATGCCTCTATGTCTTCTCCCCATCCCTTAATGTGAGATTCAAACTAATATTCATCATGAGTTATCAATTTTTTTTCATTCATCTCTCATTCAATTGTTCTAGAACT